GAAGAATTTACACATGCATGTTGAAGTATGTATACATATGCACACACACCAGGTAAGAGTTTCTACATAAGAAGAGAAAGAAATCAGAGAAATCCAAGAGCTGTATAGTTAGTTCACTTACTCAATAACCTCACAAAAACTGAACAATACCCAGTATTTAGACCTGCTCAGCTGCTCTCACCCCATTCTGCCCCAACCCCATGGCTCATCACTGCCCACAATGGGCCTCCACTTCTGACAAGCATGTGAATCTGGACAACCCACACAAATTTCCTGGTTTCTCCCACCTCTGGCATTTATACTTAGCAGCATAGCACAGTTGCTAAGAGACTCTAGAGCCACACTGCCTGAGTTCAAGTCCCAAATGAACCACTCAGAGCTACATGACCTAGGGCAAGTTGCCTAATCTCTCTGTGCCTCAGTTTCCTCACATGTAAAAGGAGAATGATGACGGTACCTTCCTCTTGGGCTGTTATACAGTTTAAATGAGTTCATCTGTATAAAGTGCTTAGAACAGAGCCTGAAGAGTTGGTGCTTTGTAAGGATAAGCTGTGTATTACCCTGCCCACTTGAAATTCTCTCCACCTTCCCCTCCGCTGATCCAAATCCACTGTCTTTTAAAAAGCCAAGCCAAATGATTTGCCTTCCATTAGTACACTTGTAAACCCAGTTCCAGCACACACATTTACTACAGGTCTACCATGTCCTGTGCTCCTGGAAAACCAGGATGAATAAGACCCAGCCCTGCCCTTGAAATCACAGTCTACTTGGGGGAATGGACAGCCATTCCAAGGAAGGTCATCACTGTAATTCAGCAAGAATTGTGAATTGGCATTAAGTGTCCCCATTGGATTTTGCCTTATTCTCCTGACTCTCCTAAAGCAGTTAGATATCCAATTTTTACCAAGATATTCTGTAGCAAAGGTGTTTGCTTTGTGTCCTCTCAATTGTTTCAGCATAGCTGCTTTGACTCGCTCAACTTGATAGAAAGGTACCCATTCTACGATTGGACCTTCTGATTCTGTCCCCTAATCCATTCCTCCCCAATGACCACCTTTTACCAACAGGTATTTGGCAACTGCATATTAACCCTTGTAGCTGATTACAACATTTAAGCATTTCTAACAGAAAATTCCCAGCGCCAGGGAAGCTGGGTTTCAGGTCTGGCATGACTTTAGAATACCTAATTATTGCTGAGTCCTTTCCATATTCTCTTGGCGTGTATGGAAGGACACTACACATATATAGACTAATGTAATGGTAATAAAAATAACAGCAGTGAGCATATATTGAGGCTTTTCCATGTGCCAGGTATTAGACAAAGTGCTTTACATATTTCATTTAATCCTCCCAACAGCCCTATAAGAAAGGCATCACTGTTATCCCACTTTGCAGGTGAGAAAACTGACATGCAAAGAAGCCTGACTGATCAAGGAAGAGGCACCAAAAACTGGTTCTTTGGAATTTTGAGAATGCAGTGTTGATGGCCACTCTTCATTCTTCCACAGTGTTTGGATAGCTGGTTCCATCACTACATTTTCAGATCTACCCAAAAGGAAAGGAAAAAGCCCTAAGTCAAAAGGAAGAGAGAGCCCCCTTCCTAAAAATATCCTACCTAGATAGGATCATCCTACAAATTCCAGTCTCATCAAGATACCATTGCTCCACTAAGATTTCCAACTTCTCCAAAAGCAAACAACATGCATGTGTAAAACTAACACAAAACATAAAACCAAATGGTTTTTACCTTCTAGAGTTTATACTGAAGTTTTGCAGAAATGCACTGTTTCAGCAAGAGCTTAAATAAGGCAGTGTCTCAGTCGAGGAGAGAGAGGAAGGCTCTAAAGAAATGTACCCCATGCTGAGAGGGGAGGGAAGGGAGCTGGAATCCATTTTATTTTTAAACTTTTAACAAATTGATTTCTGTTACTACTCTGCTATTGTAAAGTTCAAGCAAACAGCCTCAGAGGAACATGCAGGCATTCAGATCTTGAGGATTTGGTTTGGGGTACTGTTGATTAAAAAGGAAAAAAGGCACCAGAAAGATACTCTCCAAAACTAACTTTACCACAATCCTACCCCAAAGATAACCAAACCTAGTTCTCTAGAATCTCTTCTGCTCCCACCAACTCAAGCTGCAAGGAACTCCCACTACACCTCATCCATAGCAATGCTGAGATCAAGATTCTTGTCAAACCTAAAATAAAGATACACTCATGGCTGATTCAAAAATGACCTGGAGTCCCCCCCAAAAATTACTCTAAGTGAGAAGCAACCACAACATTAAAATCATTCTCACTGCCACAGTCTCCATGAAAATTCCTTGTTCATTCAGCCCCAACTCTAAATGTCTTATTCAATTCACTGGCAACAAATCTGGGGTCAATTTACCTAGCACAGTACAGCAGCATCTGCAATTTCCTCAGTGGTGAGAAGAGTGAATAACGGCTCAGGTAATCAACATGTGTAAATAAAAACCTGTGATGCTGAAAACAGGGAGGGGAGAATGAGAAACTCAAGAAGAAACATTGCAGTCGCTGGTGGCAAAGGTGGTATCCCCAGAAAGTGTCTCCTCCAACCCCCAAATAAATTTCATAACTATATGTCAATAAAACTGCAAGAGCTGCTAAGTAATTTCATCATTGCACTTCTTTTATTGGATTTATAATTAATCATAATCCAGCATGTCCCGGATCACCTACACCCAACAGGTGGAGTGCATTTCTAAAATGATGCTGTAGATTTCACCCACTGGGCTGCCCACGGTGGAGTAGCCAAGTCCAACAGCAACATCACATAACAAGACACAAGATGAAAGAAAATCTTTCTGATTTTCCAACCCTAAATAGCCATGGAAAAGACATTAAAGTTTCCCAAAGATAGGAATACACTGATTCCATCTTCCACATAAGAAATACATGGTTTTATCTGCATGGACCTTTTTTTATGATAATCTTATTAAACATTCTGTTGGGACATGAACAGAAACTCATTTTATGCTCTAGAGATATAGTTTAAACTACCAAAGGTGAAATTGCAAATCTTCAAAATAGTAAGCAATATAAACACATTCTGGGGGAAAGGATCATGAGTAAATTAAATTAACGAATACTTATCAAGTGCCTGGGCCTTGATACTGAGATGCCCCTGTCAGAGAGCTCCCAAACTGAGCTTTCTGTGAGAAGCAGCAAGATGCAATCAGAGTCTTCCTGAAAAATAAGCAATTAATCACACACTGTTTCAGATTAATTGCAATGCCTAAGATACTCCACATCATTCTGCCTTTGCCCCTGAAATCTAACTCCCTTGAGACCTCCCCGGTCTTTCGAATCACTGAATAAGACCCTAAGCAAGCCTTCATTCTGACCCAGCTAGCCCTCTTCTAACCAGAATTAGAACTCTATACACATCTCCTTCCAGTCCAATTTGTGACCTTCAGTGTGCTGTGTGTGTCAAGGTTATGCTGTCCACTAACCATGCATCCTTTAACATTAGGTCTCCACTTCTGCCCTGCTCTTTGATGCCAATGCAAAACCTCCCAGCTCTGCTGGGCCATTTCAAATCCATCTGATGGCACATTCAACAGCTAGTTAGCTTTCTGCCTCTCTGACCATCATCCAGATTGCTTTGAAGCTGCAGAGCAAATTGGCCAGAAAGGCACATCCAACACAACCAAAATCCAACCAAATTTTAAACCCAGCCCCCAGGGAGGGAATTAAGAAAGACCACCTCAACATCTTTAAAAATAAAAATCTCTCTCAAATTCAATCACCACCCACAACCTTATTTCGTATCAAATGCCCAATTCTCCACAAAAGTCTGAAATCTTTTCAGGAACATTACTGTCAAAATAGCACCCATGGGGAGACACCATCCAGGAACCAACACGACATCCCCTCAAATTGATATCTAAGCCAGAAATAGGACAAATAGGGAATGAATCCTGCTAAGGAGAAAATCAAATTCTGCTCATCTCCTAAGTGGGCAGCAACTAATTACTCAAGATTACCCCCAAGAGACTCAAAATGAAGAAGCCCGGGTATCTGAGGAATAACACAGCCAGTCCAAGACCTACCTGGGGAACTTGCCCCTCTGAAAACAGAATATCATTGTATCATGACAGAATGAAGCGAGATGCTGAGCTCCCGCATCCACAGAGGCTACTGCATTTTACAGGAATTTCAGGAGGCTCCTAGAAGCCAGGACCCTCCAATCCCAAGTGCCACGCTAATGCATTTTTCAACAGCTTTTATAAGAATGAGAGAAACCTACCAGGTCAAGAGGCTTATATTTCCATCTTCTAGTCTCCTGGATTTTTTTTTTTCCCCCTTCCTATGAAGCCCAGTTTCTGTGAATCAATGACTCGGCTACATCATATTCCCTCCTGGTGGCTCACAGTAACGGGGCTTTCTCTGGTGACCAGTGCTCCACTGGCTCAGAGAGGCTCAGCTGCCAGATCCCTGATCTTGCAGCATGCTTGGAAAGGAGCCAAGCACCATCTCTCTGCTAGAGCTCTGGTTCAGCCACTTGCAGCTCAGTTATACCCATCAGGAAACCTTTAGCTTATGAGACACGGTTTTTTGGATTCTTTCAATACAGCCAAGATAGCAACAACCCCCATCCACCTACTTAAGAGACAGATACATAGATGGCTAAACAGACAGTTCATCTTAACTCCTGCACGTTTCTCCTTTGACCAAGGATCTGTACTGCTAGAAATTTCCCACCATCTCCTTCCCTCTAAAGAAGACCAAAGACTGAAAAACTAACCCAAAGTATCCAATTGACAATTATGATGCTACAAACAAGAACAGGTACCTTACATGCTGCAAAATGAGAATATTAACAGTCTACCCCACCAAGCCCAAACAGGTTGATTGCTTTCCAAATGCAGGCTGATTAGAAGCTTCCCTCCACCCTACCCCCACCACCACCACCACCTTTGGCTCTGTCTGCCTTGCATCAATTCAGGTCTCTTAGAAAGTCAAATTTTCACTTACTCAGATCTACCAAGAATCCCCAGCGCCTTGCTATACGAAAACCCCACAAACGGCAGTTCTTCGCCCGAGAAACCTGAGGGGCTCAGCTGACACGGAGAGGTTGAAACCCACGAATTCTTCTCTGGCTCATCAAAATTGGAAGTGTCATCATCAGACTTGAGGGTGGGAACGAAGGGGGGAGGAGCTGGTTAAAGAAAAACAAGAAAAGGGGGGAGAGAAAAATTCAGAGGGATTCAACACTGTTGCGGAGAAAATCGTCTTACTCCTTCAGCGTTGGCGATGGCACTGCAGCGCCTGCTTTCAATCTAGCTGCACAGGCAGACCCAGCCTCGGCTTTTACAGCAACAAGAGATTAACCCCTTCTCTGCCAACATGGCCACCAACCTGCAGATAGGCTGCCTTCCCAGCTGGGGTAAACTGAAGGATAAACTCAAACAGGTCACACGGGTGAATGAAAGCACTTGGGAAAAACTCATCCGAGCAAGCCGCTCCTTCCTAATATTTCCAGAAGGCTTCTACAGAGCATCAGCTGGCTAGTGCAAGAATGCCAGCCAACCTAAACCTATATATTCCCTCCAGACAGCTTTAAATTAGTAATATTTAGTACTAATCATTGAAATAAAATGGAACTTCTATGTTTCATGGATTCAGTGGAATGGGAGGAAAGAACAGGAAAGAGAATTTGTAAGGTTCTGAAACTCATGTTAGGATTCCACTGCAGTCTAGTTCGTTCATATCTAGATAAGTCTACTCAGAGATCTTACTAACCACTTTTTTTTAGTTCAGTATCCCTCCTCCCCAGTGCAATCATGCCCCCCAATTCACCGCAGTTTGAATCAGCATCATGAAACACCAGCCAAATAAAGTTCCTCCTGGTGATTTACAGCACCCCTGCACGCTGAGGGTGCGAATGCCCGAACGGACATCTGCAGCACAGGTCCTACCTCGTTACGGCATGACTCCGGCTAGGGGCAAATTACATCCTCTCCAATTCCTGCCGACCTACTAAGGTCTCTCAGTCAGGGAGGTGGACACTCATCCATCAGTCACCAGGAGGCAGCCCATCACGGTGTGCTCCCGGGGACGTCGCCGGCCAGAAGCATTACCATGGCTGTGGTATGAGGCGTCCCTGGTGGGCCGGCTGGGGTGAGCCAGCGAGCCAGGCATCACATCCCCCGCAGTGTAGGCTGCATGCTCCCTACTCGGTGCGTGCTCTGGCTGTAACTCTACCTGGCTGCCTGCGTGGCAGGGGCCGATGGCGATCTGAGTGACAGAGCAGCATGAGTCACCGCCTGCCAGGGCTTGCTAGAGCTCCCCCTAGGACAGTAGTCATAGCCCTTCACAGCCCAACAGCCCAGACAGACTTCTTTTTAACTCCTCGTTTTCTGGACAGAGCTATGTGCCAGATAGAGCAACAGTCTGTTTCCTGTGCACAGACTCAAAAAGATCTGGCTGTTTCCAAAGTTCCCCAATGACAAAAACATCCAGAGCAGCTCTAGGAAGTAACTGGAGTGGTAAAGGGATGTAGAGGGGAGAGGAGATGAAGCCAGAGGTCTGGCTGCTCCCGGGAAGTACAAAAGAACATTCTCATGGACTCGGGTGCATTGAGATGAGGAGGGGTAGTGAAGAAGACTGAAAATGTAAAATGTGCACTACCAGAATATTATTTAACACCTCCAACCTCTCTCAAGAGAATTTAAATCTTCCCTGTTAGTGTCACAGTCTGCTTGCTCAATACTTTAAAAATTAGCTGATGGAAAGAAAAATTAGATTGACTGCTTTAACCCACATCCCATGTGTACTTCCATCAACATAGGCTCAAATCCAATCTGATTTCATCTGATTTCAATTACCCGATACATTTCTTAAAGAAAAAAAAAATTTTAATGGAAATTATATTTCATAAGGATCAAAAAGAGAAGTCTCCATCCCAAAATAAGGAAACAGATAAAGACTGAAGAAATGTATGAGAGAGATTTGCAGGTGATACTAACATGGAAGAATAGTCAGTAATGGCACATGCTCTGGAATCTGACTGAGTGAGTTTAAATTCCAGCTCCACTACTCACCAGCTCTGTAACCCTGAGAAAGACACTTAACCTCTCTGAGCCTCAGTTTCAACATGGGAATAACTATATCAAAGGACTGCTGGGAGACTTAAACAAAATAATCTATGTAAAGTGCTTAGCACGGTTCTTAGCACACAGTAAACACTCCATAGATATTACCTGCTATTATCATTGCTCACATGAGGTGCATGTTTATAACAGATCTTAGAGTTACTGGAGGTTAGTGAGATACAGCAGAATCTTTATTGAACATTCTTTCCTAAGCAAGGCACAGACACATCCGTGTGGATGTTTGTGTTAATCATATCATATCATTTAATTTCTAGCAGAAGTTTAATTCCCTTTCCACTATATTATCTTTAGGAGACTAAAGTAGAATTCCATTTCTGAGTGAGGAGTATGATTAATAGAGGGGTAGGAGCCACCCTCAGTGAAATAATATGATTTTGAAATTCTGTACTATAAAGTAAGATTTGTCTGTAAAACAAAGGGTCAAAGGTAGCTTAATGTGGTCAAAATTAGAAAAAGGACCAAATAATCTTCAATTTAAAAGGAAGAAGACAACGTGAAACACTGGTAACTGGTGAGATATTTACAGCACAAATTAAAAGCTAGGGACGTAAACCTCCAGACAGGTAACCGGTTAAGTACAGCAGGAAACTCTGAAAAGAAAGGCTTCTTAGGACCATATTTAGGCTGGGGAAAAAGCCACAGCCTCAAGCCAAAGACAAGTGGGGGAAATATTCTTCCCTCTAAAGAGTGATGAGGATATTCACCCTTGCCCAGGGCCCTTCAGTGGGAAAGAAAGAAGGTGGCTAGTAAGAAATTGTAACCTCGGGGCTGGCCCGGTGGCGCACTGCTACAGTGCACTGCTTGGGAGCACCCTCCACCGAGGGTTCGGATCCCACATACAGACCGGTTCCCGCTCACTGGCTGAGCGAGGGGCGGGCGCAACACCGACGGTTGCGATCCCGTTGCCGGTCCCAGTCCGGTACGGGCGCGACACAGAGGGTTGCGGTCCGTTGCCAGACACGAAAAAAGACAAAAAAAGGGAAAAAAAAAAAAAAAAAGAAATTGTAACCTCATATACGGTGTCTACGTTTACAGTATCCTGTATGGTGTATGAACTACAATTCAAGAAATTAAAATACATACTGCTCCAGGATCACTTGAGCACTTAAAGCACTGGCAGACACAAGTGGAAAAGAACTAGTAGGGACACACAGGATTCTCTCTCTCTCTCTCTCTCTCTCTCTCTCACACACACACACACACACACACACACACACACACACACACAATCACTACTGGAAACTAGTTCACAAGAAAAAACCAACAATTGCACATAAGAAGGAAGAAAAATAAACTGCCCAAAGATACAAACTACCGTGAAGGAGCATCAGCAGATACAAGAAATTGGAGAATCAGCCCTCCCAAAACTGCAAAATAAAAATCTTAATTGGACCATAAAATAAATTTCAATTTATTATCGCAGTAAATGAGTAGAAATTCTAATCAAAGAACAAAACACTTTGAAAAAGAACCAAGCAAGGGCTGGACAGTGAGCTGAGTTGGTAGAGCATGGTACTAACACCACCAAGGTCAAGAGTTCAGATCCCCGCCAGCTAGCCACCAAAAAAACAGACAGACAGACAAAAAAAACAGTACATTTGAAAGGAACCAAACAGAACTAGAAATAAGAAGTACTGATATTGAATTTAAAGTTAAAAACTTGCTGGATGTGTTAAATGGCAGATTAGACACAGATGAAGAGAAATTAGTAAGCTGGCAGTTGGATCTGAGGAAGTCGCATAGAACAATGATGCTAAAAGTGTGGTCTGCAGACTGGCAGCATCGGCATCACCCAGGAGCTGGCTACAAATGCAGAATCTCAGGCCCTGCTCCAGACCCACTGAATCGGAGCCTGCATTCTAACAAGATCCCCAGGTGATTCACTAGCACACTACAGTTCAAGAAGTACTCGTATAGAATGCAACACACACTAACAAAGAGATGGGAAACAAGAAAGGTCAGGAGACAAAGACAGAATGAGAAGATCCAATACACATCTAATAGAAGCACCAGGGAGAGAAGTAGCTTAAAATCTGGATGCCACAGTTTAAAAGGATTGTGACCACATCTATCTTGGGGGGCTAATTCTGTTATTTTTTGTGCCTTACAGAAAATGTCTATTTTTTGATTCTAATAAAATGTAATTTTTTTTTTGCTTTAAAAAAGATATTATTAGGTTATTAAAATCATATTGGTCTTCATCTATGATGATGGAAATACACATGGCATTTCAGCACATAGCATAGTGACAGGAACATAGTAGGTGCACACTAAATATGTGTTGAGAAAATATATAATTAAATGACTAGAAAATGGGTCTTGCAAACAGAGCACCTAGCATAATACAGGCCACAAAAAAGATACTTGATGTTTGAATTAAATCAAGAGGCTTTAAAAGTCGAGATTGTTCTGTCTGAAAAATATGTTAATGAGTGCCTATATTAATATTTTCTGATACAGTATTATGAAATCATCAGCCTTCCCCACCACCACATACCCACTACATTCACTAATGACAAATAAGAAGTCATATACTAAGATCTATTGTTCATTGGTAAAAGCCACTACAAAAACAGAAAAAAAAATCTTTCCCTAAATATTTTTTAAGTAAATCATCTTGTTTGAGGTAACATCAGGCACATTCTCCTCAGTGGCAGAGGCTATACAAGTAACTTCTGGAGGGATTTTTTTTTTTTTTTTCCAGTTATAAGATAGATGGCAGAACAAGGCTTTCAGAAACAAAGAGCTATTTTAAGAGCTGTAGTTAATTTCCCTTCTATAAATTCTCTCTCTCTTTTTTTAATCCTGATATTCATTAAAAGCTTTCGGGGGGGTGGAAATTAATCGTCTTCAAAAATATTCAAAAAAAAAAAAGGAAAGATCCAAATGGATTTGTCCTCTTGGCCCTTCTTTCTAATGCTCCACCAAGCTCCAGTTACCCCATGCCCACCTTTAATTTTTCAGCATACCAGACAAACGTTCATATTAAAAACATAAAAGATTTTCTAATTTTGGCATGGTGTTTATTGTCTGTTTTCCCCAC